GGGGGGGGGGGGGGGGGGGGGGGGAGAAGAGTGGGGGACCTGTACTTGTTTGGGATGTTCTTAATCATGACTGTGGTTCTGGAATCCCTACATGAGGATTCGGATGATTCCTCCGATTCCGCTTCTTTGAAGAGAAACCTCGACTCGCCGCTACTCTTGCTTCGGTTCTTCCAACTCCGCCTGCCGCTGCCGCTGCCCCCGCCACCGCTCGACTGCCGCTGCTGCTGCTGCTGCTGCTTCGATGACGACGATGACGCTGCCGGGTAGTTGGAGCTGCTGCTGTTCTTATTTCTCCTCCCACTGCTACTACCACTTCTGGCAACGGCGGCAGGAGTTGTAGTGGTATTGGTCCTCTTCAGCACCACCACGGATCCCGGGCTTGACTCCCCGCGGAGCGAGGACGAGGAAGATCTCGGCGAAGCTCCACTTGCCTGTGCCCACCTGCTGGGCTGGGGACTACCGCGAAGAAACCTCGGCGGCAAAGGGGAACCGTGGTGGCCATGGGCGTGCCCGGGACTGCTCCTTGTATGGCTGCCGGTGGCATACGAACCCAAAACCATCAGCAGCAGACTCTTCTAACATAGAAACAGCGAAATAGTAGTCTCAACTACAAGCGAACAGTGTAACCTCCTGGTGTGGCTGCTGCCGTGTCTGCTAAATTCCAGCAGCAGACGCCTTCCGTTGATCTCCTTCCCGTTGAGCTCCGCGATGGCGCGAGCTGCGTCCCTCGTGTCGAAGAACTCCACTACCCTGTGCTGCGGCTTCGACGGCATCTCCCTCGCCTCCTTCACCGCCCCTGTCACATCATCACAAGGTATAAGAATTGAACAAGAACGACACGGACAGAAGATGAGGAACTCACCAAGTAAGCCTAAGAAAGAACGAGAATGGCAACGATAATAAGACGAACCCGACAGATGCAATTATAACACAAATCTTTGGAAATCTTTGTCTCTCTTGCTTGACGACATCGAGACAAAGCAAAGCAGATGCAATAGTCATTTATTGCTGCTGCTCGCTTCGATCTATTCTCGCAAAAGAGAGATAGAAGGGGGGCCGCTGAAGCAAAAGAAGAATGAAGAGGCTGACAGGCTATAACGAGTTGCTGTTCCATACCCAAGGGTTCGAAGATTTCTCTGAGTGCGAGCAAGGGAATGGTGGTATCCGAATTGAGGACGACGAGGGAACCCTGGTTGGGGTCGTCGAGGCCGACGGCGGCGAACTGGGCCCAGACGGGCTGCCCAGCTATCGTCCCCCGGCCGCCGCCGGGCTGCTGAGGGCACCACATCCACGGCGCCGCCCAATTCCCCGCTGCGGCGGAGCCGGCCGGGGCGCCGAACCCGATCCCGCCGTGCTGCCGCGCGTGCTGTTCCCGAACCTCCGCCACCGCCGCCTCCGCGCTCCGCAGGTCGAAGAAGTGGACGATGACGACCCCCTCCGCCGCCAGCGCGCCCATCTCCACCGCCCGAACCCCGCCGAAGGCCTCCATCCCCGCCCTCACCTCCGCCTCCCCCACGTGCCGGGGCACCATGCTCAGCGCCACCGCCCTCGTCGCGGCGGCCACCTCCACCTGCTGCGGCTGCTGGAGGTGGAACACCGGGACCGCCACAACCGGCGGATGCGGCGGCGGCGGCGGAGGAGGAGCGTAGGCGTAGTAAATTTGCGGGTGTCCAAGGGCGAGCTGGCCCGCCGTTGCCGCTGTCGGGTGGAACTCCGCCGCCGCCGGATCTAGAAGATTCCCCCGGCCGCCCCCCTCCATCCTCGCAACCCCAAGAGATCCTAAACCCCTCTCTCCGCTCCTCCTCTCTCTTTAAACCCTGCACAGAAAACCGCTACAAGCTAAAAAAACCGGTACGGAAGACCGCTACGCCGGAGGGCGAGGAAGGACAGCGACAGCCAGAGCAAGAGCGAGACGAGAGAGCGAAAGGGAGTGAGCGAGAGAGATAGAGAGAGAGAGAGAGAGAGCGGAGCGCAATCAATCAAAAGAAGGCGAAGAAGGAAATAAAGCGAGCGAGTGCGGTTTTAATGCGGTGGCGATATGCCGGCGCTCCCACGTAACGGGGGGGAGGGCTCTCATAGATTCACCCCGTAATTTCGACGACCGCACGCCCTCTGTCCCACGTGGCTCGCCGAAACGTAAGGTGGAAAGTGGGAAAAGCGGGGGTGGTTCTATCAGTTATCGGTTTTGCCCAGACGGGGGGTTTTGAACGGCGACTACCATAACGGGAAGCCACCCGCCAAGAGAGTAAATGACGAAGGTGCCCCTGGGGCTTCCCCCCTGGTCCGTGAGCGGAGGCTTTGCTTGCACCGAAATGGGGACTGGCCTGGGGTTTCCCCTGGGACGCTGTGCCTGCCTGCTATAAAGAGGTGCTGGGGAAGAGGGGCGGGGAGAGGAGGTGGGAGGGGGGAGGGGGTGGCGGAAGGAGAAGGGAGAAGCAGTGAGAATGTGTCTTCCTGGGGCTGCTGCCCCCTGCTGTTGCTGCCGCTGCTCCTGCTGCTACTGCTGCTGCTGCTACTGCTCTTCCTGGTGCAGCTTATCATCTCCTAGGAGAAAGATCTGTTTTTGCTACATATGGCCTGGAGAAAGTTGCGAAGGGGCTCGCTTTGACCATTGGATATTGCAAAGTTGGCAGGGGTGTAAAAGAGCTCTCCCACTTTGCCTTCCTTGTCTGGGTTTGCTGCAAGCACCGCATCACCATCTCTCTCTCTCTCTCTCTCTCCCTCGTGCATTAATAAATGTGCTATTTCTTCCTTTCAGTGTTATTGGCAATATGCCTTAATTAGGTACTCTCACCACGACCGCGGTCAAAATTAGTCAAACCTGATCGAGCCAGACCGATGGACACACCATGACCTCAATCTCAAATCATCATCCTCGGTTTGACTCATGTTGCCATTGATGTTGTTTGTGATTTCATTTGCTGAGGTGGAGATTTACGTAGGTATGCATTCCACGTTACATCTGGTGGCGCGTGGACTGTATTCCAGGGTTCCGATGCAGCAAGTACCCCTGAGACATGGACGACGTATACGTGGTCTCCAACTCCCAGGTTCTACCAAAAATGTGGGTTGCAGTGTGCTTCTGCCTCCGAACTAATATACTAACATCCATCCGTTCCATGACTGACATGGTAGAATCGAGTTCATGCAAGAAGCGATTAAGATTGCTAAAGCTTTTGTGAGAGAGAGAGAGAGAGAGAGAGAGAGATGACTATGGCTCAAGTCGAAAAATAATAGAGGAGGGGGGGAGAGAGAGAGTACGGGCGCGTGCAAACGGCAGCTGGTGGCCGTGCGCACTCCCGGCTTCCAACGCCACCCCGCCGGTTCTCGCCATGCATGCATACAATATCCGACCGTCTTCCCCGACACGTGATTCCCGAGACCACGTCAATCTACGTGTTCTCTTCGTTACTTGCACGCCCCTGTCTCCTCCTCCCTATTATATTACATTCCCATCCTTTCTCTCTCCTCTCTCTCATCCCAATACTCGTGCATATCTTTTAATCGAATGGTGCAATGGCCCGGCAAGGCAAATCGAACCGGACGAGGCTTTAAACCGGGGTTTAAAGATATGATCTCATCGATTTTGGTTCAAAACCGGTGTCGATTTTTCCGGTCCAGCTGGTTCGGATTCAATCGCTCGACGTAGTAGGCAACGCCTGATGGGAGATGGCTTAAGTTATTTGTGCCCCACGCTCGGGTGGGTTCCCATCATGGCCACGTATCGATCACTTTTCCCTCCCATCAATGCATCCATTTCTTCTCACTCCTCCCGAAAGATCATATACAAAAGGCACGTCTCTTTCTTCCATTCCTCGGTGCCCGCTTTAGGGCTCCCCCCACCCTAGTCTTGATTAAAGGGGTCCCATTATATTACATGTATTCGCATGGGCATACGCTCCCTCATGTCACCCCATACTGTTTCTTTTCTTGAATGGTCTCATATATCAAGATTCAGCAAAGAAATTGTACTCTTGGTTGTTATAATTAATTGCTTTGGTTACTCAAAGTCGAGTGGATTGTGGAACATAATACTTTCTCGGAGAGAGAGATTCTCCGTCGCACATTGTTCTCAACGGGAATTATGCGAATTTTGATGATTAATCTTCACCTCAAAATTGCGAGTTTAATTTCCCACCACCAAGTATTATTTGTACACATCAATGGCAAGCTAAAATGCAGCAGGAAACATTCCATCCAAGTGTACTGAGGTGGTGGGGTGGACTTTGTGAAGAGAGAGTGAGAGAGAGAGAGAGACCCCATCGCCATCGCTATCACCATCACCGTCGCCATCGCAATCGCCATCTCCATCCCCTTTTCATGGTGCTTAACTAGCTTGTGCCGTTTGACAAGAAGCAAGCAGGGAGGCAGTGCCACCTTTTGCTTGCTTTCTCCTCTTTCAGGGGACCTGCTTTTGTCATCGAAACAGGGGGTTGTCACTGCTGAGGCCGTCTCCCATCATGCATCACATTGCACATCGCACATCGCACATTGCAGTGCTTGGGAGTTTGGAAGGATGCGAGTGGGGTCCCGAGGATTGCTCTGCCTCTGCCCCATGGCTTCCACTTTTGCCTCATTCCCCCCTCTCAGCTGCTGCTCCTCCTCCTCTAGTCTTTTGCCTGCCCAACGGAAGGGGAATGAATGAATGGGGTTAGCGCCGTGCCTTGCCTTTCCTGCCCCCAGTTCCTTGGGTGTTCTTGCCTCCCTAGATTTGGAGATGGGGAAGACCTCTCTCTATGGAGACTACCAGTCGTATATTGTAGCTACAATTTTGTTTACACATGATCACGTGATCTTGTGCATACTATCATGAAAGTCTTTAGAGGACCAAAGATGGCTAGAATTCCTTCTCATTAGTAATGAACTTACAAAGATTTGATGACTAACAATGTGGTACATAGTAGCCTCACGTTCTCCACATGCTGCTGGGCAATTAAAAGACATGACTTTATTGGTAGGGATAGCAACTTGGTTCCATGCCCATATGTTTCACCAATATCTGAACCCTGACCAACCACATTGGGTCTAAACCCTAATCTAAACCCGACTAAAGTACCTGTTTTTCTATCTAACCCCGGTTTAAGTGGCTCGTACAACATCTGAATGATGACAAGTAGGATACTCGTGAATTTTCTTCTACTAGTGTTGTGAAAATTCCGAGAGGATAAACTGAGCCTCGACAAGCCGCTAATCCATCCCGACGAATGTGACCCCTCCAATGGTAATAGAGAAGGAGAGAAGATCGAGAGAGAATGAGATAGGGTCTAACCCTACTACTCCAAGAGGACAAGAGTCCTAAAGCACTTAGGATCAAGGAAATATTCTCTAAATCATTTTTGATCTAAAAAATATCTTTCGTTACGATAGGTGCTAACATGATCGTTCTGATATTTTGTAGTCATCTTGCATCGAATTCCACATGTCAAGATTACGTGGGATGAACAATTTTGTCTCTATCAGCCAGAAACCAAATATGTCTAACTACATAGTACCTCGATTCAAACCTGAATCAGGTACCTACTTTTCTACTCAATTTGTCTGTCTCAAACCAAATTAAAGAGTACTGAAACCAATTTAAATGGTTGGAGATACTTCAGTAGCTGTAAAGACAATGCTGCTGCCATCCCTATCTATAGCATTTGCTCTCGTAAAGTAACAAAACAAGAAATACATATTTTTACGATAGAATATTAACTGGAAGGGCTTAGGTCGAACTCGATGCATGCAAAAACAATCATAGGTCTTCTCTCTTAGAGAGGATCTCAAATGGTTTTCATCCATGGCAGTTGAACACATCTGAAGTTAAAGGCAAATAAATTCAGTACCAAAACTCTTAATTATCAAGTTTTTCTTGGTTTCTTCCAAGGGAACAGGGAACATAGCATTGGCATGGCACACTATACAAATGAGATTAAGTTTCATCTGAAATTACTGAAAAGGATAATATTTAAATAAAGAAAACAGAATAGACAGCAAATAATGGGTTGAATTTTAAATGCTTTCTAGAGTTAAAACTAATATGCAAACTTTCATAGTAAGTACTTAACAAAATACTACATGAAAGTATAATTTATGAGATAGAAGGGATCCTTGATGTAGGTAACTAGCCAATCAGATCTAATCAAGAACAATGCCAAACATATAAAGAGCAACAAGTACTGTACAATGTGGATCCAACTAAATAGATTAATTTTATAGGAGACAATAATAGGAAAGCATGGAGAACACATAACAAGAAGAGATGTATGGTTGGCTGGTCATGTTGATGAAAGATTGACATAGAAAAAGAACGCTTAGAACAAGTTTAACTGCTCGAAAGAACAGGTGCTTCTTCTGTTGATGGACCAAAGCATCCAATTGGAAGTCCTATATGTAAATACAAAAATGCTGGGTACATCTGTTGATGCATGGTGAGGTTCATATCATCAACCAATGCTAGCCTTTGCATTTAGTAACATAAAAGTACACGATGCATATCCAAAAGCAAATTAGTTAGATTTTCAAAAGAAATTGAATTCAGCACAATTATAGTGCAGTATACTAATTCTAATGACTCATTGAATCAAAATCATATCCTTAGATTCTAATACAGTATTCTTAGGTATCTCTCTCTCTCTCTCTCCTAATGTCACTAATGCTAATTCTTTCATCCTTCTAGTATCTGTCTTTGAATATATAAATGATAAAATGGAATTAAATGGAGTCCTAAATGAAGTCAAAACTATCTTGAAGGAGCCTTCAGCTAGTTACTGTGAAATCTTCTCGATTGTAGTTCTTAAGAAGAGCACAAAAATGCAAAGGATGATGATCCCATGGTTCTAAGGCACTACAAGAGACTGTACAAACAATGCTAAAGGAATTATATCATGTGCAGTGACTTATATTAATAAATAAACCCTACACAAGTTATCATTTTATTCATCTATTATAGTATGCCATTTGAAACACAAACCCTAGAAATTGGACATTCAATTCATCTTTTCAATGACCAGATAAGTACGGGATAAAGATCAAGCAAATGTCGCAAAGGATTCCTAGAAATCGTTGAGTGTTAATCGCCAAAGAGAAGAAAAGATACGATTATGGCAAACGAGAGGTTCTACAAGGCAACCATCAAGCCCTAACCTTACCATTGGTTTCCGGAAGCGGCAAAGAAGTCCGGGGTCTCCCCTCATCAGCCCACTCTGCTCGTCCGTCAAGAACCCCTCTTTCTCGCCGACGCAACCTTCCCCAACAAATGTTAAACGAGGAACAGGTGGAAAACGCACCTCAAATCCATACCCCGACCGGCCAATGGATTGGGAGTCCATGCCTCAGACAAGATCCGCCGT